GGGGGGGGGAGAAGAGGTGTTGGGGCAGATGTAGCACTTCCTGCAGTTGCAGGAAAAGGTGCTGGGTGCAGTGTAGTTAGTGGGCAGTGTGGAGCAGATGAGGGGGTCACGGAAAGGCAGATAGGGGTGTGGAGGGAAATACCTCTTTGGTTGTGGGATCAGATTGTAGGTGGCGAAGAATGATACGCTGGATGCGGAGGTTGGTGGGGTGGTATGAGGGGACTAGGGGGATTCTGTCTTTTTTTTTGGGTATATCTAGGATTTAGAAATTGGCTGGCAAACAACATTGGGAGCAGGGGCAGTTTGATCAGCTGATAGGTCATGCTAAGTTCTGTAAACAGGTGCTACATATGAGCAGTGGTGCAATGCTTAAAAAAATAGAAAGTGAAGTCTGTCAAACATTCACTGACCTTTGATTAATTCCTGACTTATTACTCCACAAAGCAGGCATCAGATTCCATCAGCTTCTTGCTCTGCTTTTCTGATTTAAATATGGCATACAGGAGAGCATGCACCCTTACAGGAAAAAAACTTGATGCCAATTGTCACTTATGGATCTGAGGGAGAAGTGACGTTCTCCTTGAATATCAATGGCAGTAGTTCCTGTACATTCTATTTGTGTTTTTTTAAAATTCATTCATGGGATATGGACTTTACTAACTGGGTCAACATTTATTGCCCCTAGTTTCCCTTAAGAAGGTGATGGTTAGCTGCCTTCTTGAACCGCTGCAGTGCATTTGGTATAGGTACACCCACCTCACTGGGAACGAGTTCCAAGATTTTAATCCAGTAGTGAGAAAACGGAAATATATTCCCAAGTCAGGATGGTGAGTAGCTTGGAGGCAAAGTTGCAAGTTGCGGGATATGAGCCACCCTTGTCCGTCTAGATGGTTGTAGTCATGGGTTAGGAAGCTGGTCTCTAGGAAGTCTTGGTGAAATTCTAAAGTACATTTTGTAAAAGCTCCCAGCTTCTATGAGTGTTAGTGGTGGAGAGACTGGAATTTTGCAGATGTGGTGCCATTCAAGCAGGCTGCTTTTTCCTGGATGGTGTTAAACATCTTTAGTGTTGTTGGAGTTACACTCATCCAGGAAGTGGGATGTATTCCGTCACACTCCTGACTCATATCTTATAGATGGTGGACAGGCTTTCAGGAGGTGAGTTATCTGCTGCAGGATTCCTAGCCTCTAACCTGCTTTTGTAGCAACTGTATTTATATGGCTAATGCAGTTCTTTCTCTGGTCAATGGTGATGTTCTGGGTGTTGGTAGTGAAGGATTCACTGATGGTAATGTCAATTAATTTCAAGGGGCAATGGTTAGATTCTCTTTTGTTGGAGATGGTCATGGCCAGGCAATTGTGAGGGGTGAATGTTACTTGCCACTTGTTGTCCAAACTTGGATATTGACCAGGTCATGCTGCATTTGGACATGGATTGCTTTACTAGTTGAGGAGTTGCTATCAGCGCTAAACATTTCGCTCTTCTAAACTTATGATGGAAGGAAGGTCATTGATGAAGCAGCTAAGATGGTTGGACCCATGACACTACTTTGAGCAACATGTGCAGTAATGTCTTGGAGCTGAGATGACTGACCTCAAATAACCATAGCCATCTTCCTTTCTTCTATGTCGGACTTCAACCAACAGAGTTTTCCCCCAGTTCCCACAGACTCCAATTTTGCTGGGGCTACTTGACACCACACTCAATGATATAATACAGCCTTGATGTCACGGGCAGTCACTTTCACCTTACCTCCGGAATTCAGCTCTTCTATCCATGTTTGAATGGGATTATGACGAGGTTACAAACTCAGTGACCCTAGCAGAACCTGAACTGAGTATCAGTGAGCTGCTTATTGATAATCAAGTGCTGTTGATGGCTCAGTTGATGATATCCTCCATCTTTTTACAATGGGGTCACATCTGGGGTTGGAATTTCCAGCTTTGTGTGTACAGGACATAGCTGGACAATTTTACACATTGTCTGGTAGATGCTAGTGTTGCAGCTGCATTTGAACAGCTTGGCATGGTCTGACAACGTCTGGAGCCGAAGTCTTCAGGATTATTGCTGGAATTTTGTCCAGGCCTGTAGCTTTTGCAGTATTTAGCACATGGAATTAATCGGATGGCTGAAGGCTGGCATCTGTGATGCTGGTGATCATTGGAGGAGATTGAGATGGACCATCCATTCAGCGCTTCTGGCTTAGGGTCAACGCAAATGCTTTAGACATATCTTTTGTACAGATGTGCTGGGCTCCTCCAATATCGAGGATGGGGTTACTTGTGGAGACTTCTCCTCCAGTGAGTTAATTATTCAACATCATTCACGACTGCATGTGGCACCACAGCACACCTTAGATGTGATCCATTGGTTTTGGAAATGTATAGCCCTGTTTGTCATTTGCTTATACAGTTTAGCAAGTAATCCTGTTGGTAGTTTCACTAGGTTGACACCTTATTTTTAACTCTTCACTGAACCAAGATTGATCCCTGTTTTGAAATCAGGGCAGAGTGGGGGTCATTCTGAGCCATGAAGTTCAATACTGTATTGGAGTACAATTCTGCTGCTGATGGCTAAAAAAAAAAACCTCACAGTCTTAAGCTGCTAAATCTGTGAAATTTATCCCATTTAGCACAGTCATTGTGCTACACATGATGGAGGGTGTCCTCAAATGTAAAGACAGGAGTTCGTCTCGACAAGGACCGCGCAATTGTCACCGTTACTCATACTGTCACGGTCACATGAATCTGCAGCAGTCAGATGGATGAAGATGAAGTACGTTTCTGCCTCCTGCTGGTTCCCTCACCAACTGCCACTGGCCCAGTCTAAAAATTATGTCCTTTGAAACTCAATCAGTTGGTCAGTAGTGGTGCTGCAGAGCCATTCTTCATGATGGACATTGAAGTCACCCACCCAGAGTATGTCCTGTGCCCTTTCCAGCTCCTATGCTTCCTCCAAGTGCTGTTCAGAATGGAGGAGCACTGATTCATCAGTTGAAGGCAGAACAATACATGTTTATAAGCAGGTTTCCTTTTCCAGATTGACCTGATTCCATAGGACTTCAAGGAATTCAGAGACAATGTAGAGGATTCCCATGGCACCATCTCTGCTGGTTTTGTGCTGCTTGTGGGACAGGAATAGTCATAATTGGGATGTAGTGTGAAAGGTAATGATTCCATGTGTATGACTATGTCAGGCTGTTATTTGACTAGTCTGTGACATAGCTCTCGTAATTTTGGCACTAGCCTCCAGATGATGGTAAGGAGGATTTTGCTGGGTCAGCAAGGTTTGAGTTTGCCCTTATGAAGATGGTCTGTTCAGTTTCATTCCTTTTTTGAGACTTGTTAGCAGTTGATGCAACTGAATGCTCAGTCATTTTAGAGGACAGTTAACCACATTGGAGTCAACAAAGTTGCTGGGATCTAGAGTCACGTGTACACCAGACAAGATAAGGACGGCAGTTTTCCTTCCCAGAGAATATTAATGAACCAGATGGACTTCCAGACTTTTAAAAAATTGAATATAATTCCACCAGCTGGTTTGGGCTTCGAACCCAGGTACCCAGGGAGGGAGTTACAGACTGGAATCTAATCGAGGGGTTCGGGGCTGTTTATATACAGAATAACAGATACCCCGGGAGGGAGTTACAGACTGGAATCTAATTGAGGTGTTCGGGGTGGTTTATATACAGATTAACAGATACCTGGGTCTGTTGCTGGGTCGCAGCATTGTAGTTCTGAAGAGAGGCTAGAAAGGCTCAGATAGTTTTCTTTGAGGGGGGCCTGACAGATGTAAAAGATTATGAGGGGCACGGACAGGGTGGATGGGAAGGAGCTGTTCCCTTAGTTTAATGGTCAATGATGAGAGGCACTAAGTGAAAAGCAGGAGATTTAGAGGGAATTTGAGGAATAAAATTTGCACTCAGAGGGGATGGGAATCTAGAATGCACTGCCTGAGAGGGCCAGCAGAGGCAGGAACCCCTCACAACCTTAATAAAGTATGTGGATGAGCACTCGAAATGGCATAGCATTCAAGGCTATGGGCCAAGGGCTGCAAAGCGTGACTAGTGAAGATACGTCAGTGCAGACTTCATGGGCTGAAAGACCTCTTCAATGCTGTATGATTCAATGACTCTGAGATTTTTGCGAATATTCAACATAAGTACAATTGCTTTTTCCCTATTTCCTTAATGCCCTTGGCTAGTAAAATCAGTTTGAAAATTAACAATTGGTTCAGCCACCAAGCGTGGTTTTTGGAACAGAGTTCAAAAATTCTACCATATTTTGAGAATAATTTCATTCCTGTAAAATATAGCTCCGACAGCAGTAGATGTACTGCAGAAATTCACTAAAGATTCACCTTTCAAACCCTTGAAGGAGGACAAAGGCAGTAAAGTAACATAACCACTTGCAAGTCCCCTCCAAGCTACTCAACATCCCTGATCTGGAAAGAGTCATACAGTACAGAAACAGACCCTTTGGTCCGACTTGTCCATGCCGACCAAGTTTCCCAAACTAAACTACTCCCATTTGCCTGCGTTTGGCCTATATCCCTCTAAACCTTTCCTATTTATTTTCTGGTGCAAATGTCTTTTAAATATTGTAACTGCACCTGCATTTACCACTTCCTCTTGGCAGTTCATCCCATAAATGAAACGGCCTTTCTGTGAAAAAGCTGCCGCTTGGGTCCCTTTTAAATTTTCTCCTCTCACCTTTAAAATATGCCCTCTAGTTTTGAACTCCCTAACCCTAGGGAAAAGACTTTTTCTATTCACCTTATCTATGCCCTTCATGATTATACAAACCTCAAAGATTAACCTTCAACCTCCTACACTTCAGTGAAGGAAGTCCCAGGTTATCAAACCACTCCTTGTAACTCCAACCATCCAGTCCCAGTAAGATCCTTGTAAATATTTCTGAACCTTCTCCAATTTAATAATATCCTTGCTATAGAAGGGCGACTAGGACTGTACACAGTGCTCCAAAAGTGGCCTCACCAATGTCCTCTACAACTGCAACATGACATCCCAACTCCTATACTCAATGTTCTGAGCAATGAAGGCAAGCATGCCAAATGCCTTCTTTACCACTCGGTCTACCTGTGACGTAACTTTCAATGAACTATATCGCTATTCCATCAGAGTTGCTGGGTCAAAGTCCTGGAAATCCCCTCTTAACAGCATCGTGGGTCTACCTGCAGCATACGGACTACAGCGGTTCAAGAGGTCAGTGCACCACCACCACCATCATCATCTCAAGAGCAAAAGGGTCGAGCAATAAATATTGGTCCAGCCAATGACACCCACTTCTCATGAGTGAATAAAAAACATGTCCTTGATTCCACAATTAGCAACAGAATTTTCTCCATTTGTTACCCTTAATACCTTGAAAACATGATCAAATCAACTCTTAATCTTCTAAATTCCATGGATTACAACCCAAGTTTATTTAATCTCTCCTGGTAGTTTAAAACTTGGAGTCTAGGTAACACTTTAATGAATTAATATTGCCCTCTGTGCAAGGCCAATATATCCTTTCTAAGATGTAGTGTTCAGAACTGCTCACAGTACTCCAACTGTGGTCTAACCAGAGCTTTGTATACCTGAAGCATGACTTCCACCCCACAGATTCAATCTTATCACATTGCATACATTGTCCCAAAGCATTTTACATCTAATTAGTTCCTTCTTCAACTGCAGCCATTAGTAACGTTCAACTAAGCTGCCATTCTACACAAAGAAAATGAGAGAAGCACGCACTGTGAAAGATTGAATCAGAGATAGTAGGAACTGCAGATGCTGGAGAATCCGAGACAACAACGTGCAGGGCTGGATGAACACAGCAGGTCAAGCAGCATCATAGGAGCAGAGAGGCTGACGTTTCGGGCCTAGACCCTTCATCAGAAAAGGGGGACGGGAAGGGGGTTTTGAAATAAATAGGGAGAGAGTAGGAGGCGGATAGAAGAGGGATAGAGGAGAGGATAGGTGGAGAGGAAACAAACAGGTCGAAGAGGCGGGGATGGAGCCAGGAAAGGTGAGTGCAGGTAGGGAGTTAGGAAGGGGATAGGTCAGTCCAGGGAGGACGGACAGGTCAAGGGGGCGGGATGAGGTTGGTCGGTAGGAGATGGAGGTGCGGCTTGAGGTGGGAGGAGGGGATAGGTGGGAGGAAGAACAGGTTAGGGAGGCAGGGACGAGCTGGACTGGTTTTGGGATGCGGTGGGGGGAGGGGAGATTTTGAAACTTGTGAAATCCACATTGATACCATTGGGCTGCAGGGTTCCCAAGCGGAATATGAGTTGCTGTTCCTGCAACCTTCGGGTGGCATCGTTGTGGCACTGCAGGAGGCCCAGGATGGACATGTC